TGAGAGGAGAGACGAGGAATGGTGGGAAGCGGAGGAGTTGGAATTAAGTGAATGGGTAAGTACACTCCTTAGAGTTCTCTCTCCAAGAGGTGTTCTTACCATCGGACTAAAAAGGCAAAAACACAATTTTCCATAACTTTGCCCAGAGGAAAAAAATTGAAATGCTTGCTTAAGATCACTGAAACTTTCAATTTATTGTGATATTTAAAAAACTAACATTGGGGGATGGAAAACACTTACAAATTAAGGGAATTTTAAAGGATTATAAGTTTCGTATTTCCTTGAATAAGCACCCAAACCTTAGGCCATAAATTGAAGTAACCGTCCCCCCTTCCTCACTTTCTTAAATAGTGGTGATACAACGAAAACCTTTTTCCATTGCCACTTTATCCAAAACCTTTTGAGCTTCAGTTCCCGAGTTTCTTTTCGGTTGCAGACATTTCAGTCTTCATGCGCTTGTAGAATTCCCTTATGTATTTTACCTGTTGTTTTGATTTTTCTGCCCTATTAGTGCGCTAACTCAACTAACGCCTACTCGGTAAAGCGCCCTCCTACCAATAAGCGCCCTTAACCCCCCCCCACCTCTTTTAGCCGCAACTTTATGGGCGCTCGGGCGTTTGTTCGAGGAAATACGGTATTCACTTCTCCAAATAAGGGGGGAGGGGGTGGGGGGGGGCGTTCTTGCACCTATAGTCCTTCGCCAGCTACGCTCATGCAAAGTGTCCTGTTGCGCACTCAACCCCCCGCGGTGAAACGACAATTTTGCAGGCTGGTTTTACGAATCTATTTAACCAATTCAAAACACGGACACCAAAATACAATGGAAAGCAAAACATTCATTCTCACCTTTCTCATCGACGTCTTGGTAATCATAACCGAAGTCGAAAGACTTCTTGAACATCTGTTGGTGAGTGTAAACCGGAAACAACGGCACAATGACGTCATCTCTGTTGTGACCAATGGGTGCATCGTAAGTAGATAGCACATTCGCATCCTTATTAAACTTCCGCAGCCATTTTTCATAGATACGATCCACAAACGCGTGATGAAGAGCAAAGATCGGGTCGTTTGATGCCGAAGGCACGTCCCCCATTTCTCCTCCAACAACTATGTGGACCCGATTGTGCAAGCCGTGGACGTTAGGAAGGCGAAAACCAGTTTTGGTGCTAACATAACCCTCTAGGATGTTTCTAAAATTGCAGCTAGACTCTTTGTTGTGGGGTGGGAGGTCAAAGGTTTCAAAACGGAGTGCAAAGTTGACATCTGTCTTTGTTGGAAATGTCATAGTATATCCTTGTTCCTTCTCTTTCTTCTCCTTCTCATCATCTGTGTTCCGTTTCAATCCAGCTCTTCTGTCATCAGGTTCACACGGCTCTGTTAGGTCAAAGGTTTGTTCGCTGGTGCAAAGGACGTACCAGTTATCCAAGTATTTGCCCCTCAGGATGCCAGTAGTTTGGTTTGTTACACCAAGGAGCTCTTCTGAGCAAATTGTAGGGTCGCATTGATTGGGATTCCCAGTCCAGTCCCAGAAAGGAAGGGCAAATTCTTCATCGTTTCCAACTTCCTGCAAGGTTCTCTCCCATGCCAACAAGTACAACCGATGCCATGAGGGAAATCCCTGACCATCGTGTGCGAAGTCAATATCAGATTCAGTGATATCATGAGGTAAAATGGTGTCACTTGCAGCATAGTAATGCATCCACGTGAACAAGTCATAGTTAGTGACATTATAAAAGAAGGACTTTGGGTCGCCACCCTCCATAACAGTTTTGTTTATCTCCTCGTAAGGAGTAGACGTAATCATAAAGTCACTTACATAGTGCTTGGACATGTTGACGTATCTCATGTATCGATCTTTCTCCTCGGCTGTCAGGTTTAGAAAATTTCTTCGTATTAGATTTTTCTTCTGCGTGCAGTTCTTGCCATAGTAACCAAAGGCGCATTTGCTGCAATCGTAACCTGCATAGTTTGCGTTGCATTTGCAGACTTTGTGGTAAATAGCACGCGGCCAGTTGTGTCTCTCGTCCTCCATCTGGAACGGTCGATAATGGCTGTACTTGAATGTCCAATCACGAATGGTCAGTTCTTGGCACTTTCCTCTGTCTCCATCGCAACCACATCGTGTGGTGAAGCCTTTGGGGACAGGACAACATATCTTGTCTCTCAGACTGTCCAGGTCAATGCAGTCTCTGGGAAACTGGCCTTCAACCCAGGGTAAAGTGACAACAAGAAAGACAAGGCATGCGATGATGGGGTAACCCATTTTATGATAGACTACCTGAGAGATCAAATTTAGGTCTAATTGTTATCTGTCCTACGAGTCTAGACGTATAACAATTATGTAAAACATAGATATCTCTGTCTAATTTTAATAGTTCTAATAATAGTAATAACAATAATGATAAGAATTATAATAATGATGATGATAATAATAATAATAGAAATCATGAAAACTTTCAAATAGAGAGAAACTGGGTGTGTTTTTGGTGTTTGTTTTTGAGGAAAAGGTGAAACTCAAAATAACAATTGTTATCTATAAACCTCACTTGGCCAGGGGGAAAATGTTAATTATTTTACACATTTTCTTTCGTATTTTATCTAACTAAAGCCCAAAGTTAACTGATCCATCTTGCAATGACTGTGTTTACAATTTTTAGGGCCACAAGACCCTAAAATGATTTAAAACTCTGGATCGCTAGGTTTTAGAATATAAAAAGGGCCGGATGCCATCGAATCTTAAGTAAATGTTTCTTTTTTTATTCTCTTAATATCACAAACGATTGGATTATGCATCTCGAAAACATTGACCTGTACTGTTTAGTATTCTGGTTCTTTGATTCTTTACGCCAGAAGTTATTCGTCACATGAAAATCCTCACAGCAATGAGCCGTAATTTCGCTTTATCTCAAGAAGCTTAATTTTTTTGTTTGTGACTTTGAAGGCAACAACTTTTCAGATCCAAAATCTCCGGTTTAATTCCTTTCAAGTGAATCGAGATCCAGATTCCCGGAAACTTATCTTCCAGTTCACACCACGCAATTATTATTCATATTCTGGGAATTAGTCACGCAGTATATCCTGACTACCTAACAAACGAGGCTAAGACGATATGAATTTTCTTAATGTCATACGGGTTATCACTGTACGCTTGAAAAATATCCTGTTTCTTTGTTGTCTCTGTGACCTAGTTTCCAATAACAATTTTTTGGCGAGGAATCCATCACTGAAAATATTGACCAAAAGGTTTAAACTTCCAAATCCATTGCTGCTCGCTTGAGAAACTGATTTTCTTCACAAAGTTATTAGAAATGAGCGGCTTTTCTGGTGCAAAATATCTGCTACTTGAATCAAAAGAAAATTTCGTCACATCAGGTCCTCAGCTTAAAAAAACCACATAATTGACGCGATGCAACTGGATTAATTTCATAAAACGGGTCAACTTTCCCAGATAGCATCCCGTAAGCATATAAAGCATTTCTTGCTAGTAAATATAATTTTCGGCCCAAAATCAAACTTTATCGCAAGAGACCGCTTCGCCACTTTGTCATGAAAGCCTCCTTCGATTTTAGTCAGAGCCTGAATTCCTTCTTTAGAAGCACTCCTGAAATCAATCCGCGATCGGCCTACAACAAAAGCATGCACATTTAAGGACTTTGACGAATTGAACATAGTTTGATCATCGGATGGTTGCGACATGTGCATCGAGTAAAATCCGCATTCTGTTTCTTGGATAGTCATCGTTTGAAATGTACCTTGAACATTGTTACATCGAAAGCAGTACATAAATCCTTTGTAGCGATCATATTATGAGCGCCTCTTGATTAAGATTGGAGCGTCGAGATAAGACTATGTGTGGAGTGGTTGGCGAGGCGGGGGGGAGGGGGGCGGATAAGGGGTAGATTAAATACAAAATAACGACTGGTAAAGAATTAACTCGCGTGGCCGATGAATGGGGGCCTGTGAAGGGCAAAGTTGATGTAAGTTGATGTGTGATCGCCAGGATTTCCCACCCGGATCTTGTTATCCTAAAATACGCACCGGCGTAACTGCCGCCTTCCCACCCCACCCCCGTCGTGTGCAAAGCACGCAGGTTAGTAAATAATAGACACAGTTCACTCGTGGTCGCATTTAATCAAAAAATAGACTTTAAATATCGAGATGTACTATTATAACGCGCCTTTTCATATGTAAAAAGAAAACCTTCGTCTTCTTGAAGGCTTTGGTGCGTTTTTGAATGGTTAGATTATGAGATTACTTTACTTCACATGCGAATCAGTCGCTTCTGTAATGTTCTCAATACTTCTTTACTAAGCTCAGCACAGCTAAGCTCCTAAAAAATTAACTCATCCCTCTTATATTGTTTATTCTCAGTTATTCCTTCTAATCTTTCCAGACGTAAGTCCATTGTACTTCATGTTACTGTACATTATCGTACTGTGCTCTATTCTACGACTCTACCATTTCTACTCTTCTCTTCCTTCATCCTCACTTCTTCTCTCTTAGCCTGTTTCAGCCTCTCATCAGCGAAGACGAGCGAAAAAGCGAACACGTGAAAAATGGCGCGCGCGTTAACTTGCAGGCAAGCGGGCGTAATCTGCAGACGTCTCCGTAGTAACTGCAACCACCGCATCCCGCTTGCTTCAACACAGCGGTCCAACCTCTGCGCGTGTGCGCAGGTTGTAATTACTACGTGAAGTGATGTCAGAAACAAGTTACACAGCCTCGCATTCAAGTGAGTCGAGGTGTTTTGCAACCGTCTTTGTTTTTGTTAAAGATTAAAACGGAAAGGTGAATCAACAAGATATCCGTACTTGAATAAGCTTCGGGTTCGAAAATTATCGAGTTTTCTTTTTCTCTACGTTTATTCCCTTCTACAGATTACGATGTACGTTTCAATTTTCTTTCGTTTATTTTGGGAGACAGGAGCTGT